CCTTTCCCCCCCCCCGGGCCCCCCCCCCCCCCCCCCACTCCATCACGAACACTCTGTTTGAACATGCCCAACGCTTTATCGTCAACACTCCATCGCAGTACCAGCTAGTAGCTCAAATGTAGACGTTCCGAGACCACGTCAACTACCGCCGCCACCTCGTACGCCCTTATCCGCCCTCCGACTCTCTTCCACCTTTCCACATCCACGTCTGTCTAGCGAGAGCATCGAGAAGTAGCGACATCGCGCATTTCGTCGGCCAGCCACAGTCGCTGGGTGGTCTTGACATTGACCAACTCCAAAACCCACGTCTCTCCCTCGCCATCTCTCCATTTCAGTCGCCCAGATGCACCGTGCGGCCCTGAGAGCGTTCCGGACGACATCCACCTACTTCAGCGCCGTCCGCAACCTCTCCCGCACCTCACGAACATCCCACCGAACTCTCTTCTCCGCGGCCAGCCAAGCCGCCCATCGCCAACCCCTCGCTAATGAGCCTCTGAGGTCCTCCATGTACTTCCGCCGCCTGCCTGTCGCCCTGGTCTCCAGTATTGTTGTGGGATACGGCGCCTGGTACTCGTACAACTCGACCGGCAGCGTCGCCGGCGGACCATCCGTCGCGCGAAGCTTCACCTCCACCCAGGGTTCTAGCGATGCCCTGCCGACCAGGACTGTCCTCGTTGTCGGCGCAGACGAGCTTCGACAGGGCACCATTGTGGGGGAAGGGCCTATCCTCAAGCCCACGGCTGACGGGCGTCGAATCGTCGAGATGCTGACACCAGAGCAAGCTACCGACAAGTTGAGGGCGCTGGAGCAGTCATTCTCTGTGAACAGGGGACAGGGCGTGACGAGGTACGACCTCGTCCAGTTGCCAAGTAACGATCCCATCGAGGACGATCATGCCGAAAAGATTGTCCAGGTTCCCAGCCGGTCTGCTGGTGTCGAGGGACAGACCAGTGACTGGATGTTCTGGGGTGTCTTTGACGGCCATTCGTCAGTTTTGCCCATCTACCTACCTTTTTTCTTTTTCTTTTTTTTTTACTTCATGCTGATTCATCCCCAGTGGCTGGACAACATCAGCAACTCTTCGCGAAAGCTTAATCAGCTACGTCGCCCGCGAACTCAACGAGACGTACAAATCCGCCAAAAGCAACTCCCCCACCGACGAAGCCATCGACTCGGCCATCAAGACCGGTTTCACCCGCCTGGACCACGAAATCGTTCACAAGAGCGTGGAGAAGGTGTTCAAGGCCAGTTCCAAAGCCGTGGCCGCCGAGCTCCTCCAGCCCGCCCTCTCCGGCTCCTGCGCCCTGCTCTCCTTCTACGACAGCCGCAGCAACCTCCTCCGGGTAGCATGCACCGGTGACTCGCGCGCCGTCCTCGGCCGCCGCTCGGAATCCGGCAAATGGACCGCCACGGCCCTCTCCGAGGACCAGACGGGCGGCAACCCCAGCGAGGCGGCACGCATGCGCAAGGAGCACCCCGGCGAGGACGACGTCGTCCGCAACGGGCGCGTCCTCGGCGGCCTCGAACCAACACGCGCCTTTGGCGACGCCGTCTACAAATGGTCCCGCGACGTGGCCGGCAAGCTGCGCGCGTCCTTCTTCGGCCGCAGCCCCTCCCCCTTGCTCAAAACACCCCCCTACGTCACCGCCGAGCCCGTCGTCACCACCACAAAGGTCAACCCCGAAAAGGGCGACTTTTTGGTCCTCGCCACCGACGGCCTCTGGGAAATGCTCACCAACGATGAAGTCGTCGGCCTCGTGGGCCAGTGGATAGAGAGCCAGGCCTCGTCATCCGGCTCGGCAGCGTCCCAGTTCGAAGCGGCGTGGTCCAAAATCTTTGGCTCCCAGAACAAGCCGCTTCCCGTGGAACAGTCCAAGACGGGGGCAAACGACGGCCAGCGGACGCCCATTCGTCTCCAGCAGTGGGGCATCAATCCCGACGCCAAAGACCGCTTCATTGTCAAGGATAAGAACGTCGCTACGCACTTGGTTAGGAATGCCCTGGGGGGCAACAACGACGAGCAAGTGAGGGCTTTGCTTACTCTTCCCTCGCCGTTTTCCAGAAGATATCGGTACGTTTTTCCTCCTTGTGCCTCTTTTTTTTGCGCCGTGTTCCTTGTATATAGATGTATATGTATATGGTGCAAGTACACAGTTCGTAGTCATGTGCTAACTCGTCCAAGGGATGACTTGACGGTCCAGGTGATTTTCTTCGGGGACGGCCCCAAAACAGGCGAAGTTACGATAAACCTCGATGCTACCGCCGAAACAGCCGAGCCCAAGCCCAAGCTGTAGTCGTTCCTTGGCGGCGTCTTTAATTCTACACGACAGGCGGCGGGTGTTGATGGATGATTCAGGCATGTGACGTGGCTTAGCGAGTATAATGTAGCGGATCAAAACAGAACTAGAGCGCAGGAGCTTGTATTTTAGTCCCTACGGGTGTGACTAGGGTGCAAATAATAAAGGCCTTCAGTGGCCATTCTTGTGGCAGCTTCCAATGAGGGATTCGAAAATGTCTACCGCTGATGAGTTCTTTTTTTCAATTGCCTGGACTTGTCTGAGCATCCCTTTCCTAAGCTAATGCCAAACACGAGCCCGAGTGCAATAATGATGTATCAGGACGAGGGAGTGACTGGCTCTGGGACTCGGTGGACTAGACACCGTCCTCGGGCCAAAGAAACTGTCTGTTCCATAAACTGAACTTTAACAACTATGTCTACGCGAACTATGATGAGGATGACTGTCACGATAGCAGCAAATAGATGCAGGCCGTTGCTTTTGGGTTTGTCGCCCATGGCCTCTGTGGCTATGACCTGCGGGACATGTGAGAAGAGCGATTCAAAAGGGATTCAAAGGCCCCGTACCAGTCCCATGTTTGGAAATAACCAACGACCACCATGTCATTTGGAACGGCCTCTTATGTCCCGAACGCATGTGCCTCCACGGCGATCCAAACGACACAAGGTAGAAGCACATTGACAATCCCCACAGCCAAAGAGCGACAAGTAAGAACACAGCCTTGATTACATATTTGGAGTCTTGAGAAACTCTTCAGCAACGATCCTTGGCATGGCCTCCTAGAAGTGCTGCCAGAGGTCAGCATGCAAAACAAACAAGGAGACTGATTTGGTATCAACGTACCAATACTGGCGGCGGTAGATCTAGACGGTTCAATAGCTATAAACTGAATAGTTCGTAGTGCAGCACCTTGGTTTCATCGAAATATGAACGTACCACTCCCAACCGGTGCGTGTGTTGGGGTAGCTTCTGGGCCATGAGACGGTATACAAAGGCAATAGGCAGCCTTTTCCTTGTGTTGTTGCTGCGCAAGGGGCGGCAGCGGTGATGTTGACAGGTCGTGGGCGTCCAGATATTTCCGCTGCGGCAGTGAGGTTTGCGCCGAAAGGGCTGGACAAAAAGGCGAATACATAGAAAGTACCCACGTAGGTGACATGACATGAACAGAGTATCAGCCACTCTTACTCCATGTGCTAGTGCTGCAACGGCGTACAAAGTTGCCCGCAGGATAAGGTACAAGCCAGCGCTGGCCACCGCACCCAACCAACGTAGATGCAAAACGTCACGTCCATAGTTCGTAACAGCCAGGGCCCATAATGAGCAACGCCATACTGGCACATCTTTATGAGAATAATGGCGATTCTGCTTTTACAAGTTCAAGTCAAGCTATCCAGGTTGGAAATATTCATGAGACAAACTGCTTGTGTGAGTATGGCGCCGATAATGAGGAATGTGCAACTTGACAGTCCGCTGGCACACAGATGCTAGTATGGAAGAGTGATTCGACTTGGTCGGTGAACGAGTTTGTAAAGCCCCCGGGACGCATATAAAAGCGTGGCGAGATTAAAATACAATCAAGAAGCAAAAGGACGATATTCAGGATACAAATCGAGATGTCGACAAGAACGACCCAACCCGTCTGATGGCAAACTATGGCCTGCTTAGCGCTGGTTTCAGTTTAGAGCTTCCCGGGTTTCCTCACCTGTAGGCGTGGTCTGCGTGCATGGTTAGCGAGACGGCAGATGTGGAGGGTTTCTCTGTCATACCATTGTAATTTAGGTCCATTGATAGCACACAATCCGGCATTTGAGAGTTGCTTCACCACGAGGTCGTAATTTCTCAGACTTTCTCATCACATCAGATGCGCGGTGCTGAGCAGCTAGCATCATACTTGAATGGGATGAATCCATTGCGGGAGTGACCTCAATGCCAGATGGCTGTGAGACGTACGACTGTCCTGTTGGGCCCGACCGCGGTGTTGGAACCGCCAACTGCGACCGTTGAATGCTGGACATGTGTGAAAAAGAAGTAAAGAGTCCAAGCTGGTCCACATGATGAAGAGACTCATGCCCGCATGCAGGTAGGCTGTACGATGTATTGCGGTTGCTCACCACTTGGGCGTGGTCGGAGGCCATGTTGCCGGATCCAAATCCTCGGGTCTTCGGGCCAACAGCTTGGAGACGAAATAGAGGACGACGAGCAAGCTAGGTTCGGCATGGGAGAATGCGAGATTGATATAGACCAAGTGGGTGAGAAAGACGATATGGTGCAAGACAATGGAGCCGACATTGGCCAGAGGCATAATGCCTGGTTTCGAGGCGGGCGCGAAGAGCCCTTGATGATGCCGACGTCCTGTTTCTCTAGCATCGACCTGTCTGGTTTGGCTTGCTCTCCAGGCCACACGTGGCCGCGTTCCACGCCGAAGGGTAATCCGTGTACAACGAGTAGATGGAAGGGGCGAGGATTGCCTGTATCGTCTTCTCGTGGCGGAGCAAAACAGTGTGACGCTACGAGTACTCGGTAACAGCATCCATTGGCCAAACGGAGCGGAAATAACCAGCTAGCTGGAGAAATGCCGAAGACGCAAGTGATGATTATGTTGCGATGGAGCGGCGCAAGAACAAAGTCGAGACCAGAGCGAACCCCTTGTTGGATGAGTGTTTGATGGTCGGATGTGGAGCACAAGCATAGGTCGGGATTGAAGCCCAATGTTGCAGATCCCGGATTGGAGTTGCTCTTGTCGCAAGCATCAAGACTTGGTCTGTCTTCTAGAAGGCTCAATGGAAATGTATGAATATCAATCAGGTGTTGAGGAGTGCAATTTGAAGGTATGGAGGAGTAGTGCTTTAGGCTAAAAGTGATGGTGGAGCGAGCAGAGAGATTTTGCCAATGTTGAGTCTGTACGTGAAGAATAGGGTCATTCGCCGATTGGAAGAGCCCAGGCTAGGACTTGCATGTGCATAACGACTTGACGGCTGGCGACTCGAGACCAAAAGACTGCCAGGCCACGATAAAATCAAGGCCAATTTGCAGCTGCGACCCAGTAGACGACCAAATGTAATATTTTCTTGTCCAACCTGACACTTGCTTCACCTCCAAGGGTCCAGGGCTCCCAAGCCTCAAACACGAACGGAATGTTCAACAGACACAGAACCAGACAGCCGTGGTGGCACCCGGGCCATGTTATGGCATACAACTTGCAAGCAAATGATAATTGACCATTGCCGCCGCTATTTTTGTGTATCGAACCAGGCTCCTCCGTGCATCAAATTGCTTCCAGCGTTGAATTCGTTATCGCGTCGCTGCTTCCAGCGTAGCACGTGACGGTCGTCATCCGCCCTGTATGCCAGCTTGTCAGCTTGTCGACTTGTCAACTTGTCCGCTTGTCCCACTCCGCGCACTACGTCCGGACTAACTCTCCAGATAAGCCACGCGACAACTTCCACCCCCAAATCACAACTGTGACGGCATGCGCACGATTGTGCGATTGGGTCGCGGAGTTGTTTTCCGTGTTTGCCGTTGAGCCTCTGTGCCTGTGTTGCTTCTAGCCATTGAACCTTGGTGTCGTCGACTTATCCTGTCACCGGTCCACAATCGCGTTTGCGACGCTCGTCACATCCGGCATAGAGAAGCTCTTGACATGCGCCAATAGCCAGGCACGACGAAACCGCATACAACTACGACGGCAACGCCATAATGACCTTCACAAATGCCCCCGTCACTAGACTGCTGGTTCTCGGGCTCGTCGCGGCCTCCATAGGCGCCAGCATGCTCGATGTCAAGCACTACTTCTACATCTCCATCGATACACACCTGTGGAAGTATAGACAGTTTTGGAGGTTACTCGCCTACCAGCTGTGCTATACCAACTCAACCGAAGTGCTGTTTGCAGCCATGTCGCTATACAACCTGAGAGTCGTCGAGCGCATGTGGGGATCGAGGAAATACGCCGTGAGTAATCCTCAACCCATCATCCCGTGGCAACAAGGCTAACAGCACAACCAGTCATTCGTCGTTGTCTGTTCCCTCTTCAACGCCGTCATTCCTCCCCTGATCATGGCCGTATTGCGCCCGCTGTCGGCAGGCTTCTTCAACTACATGCCCGCAGGCCCGACTCCAATCGTATTTGCCATACTGGCACAGTACCACTCCATGGTTCCCCACGTGTACAAATACCGAGTGGCAACGTCACAAAACACCACGACGAGCGACTCATCCGGAGTGACTCTGTCGGATAAATCGTACCAGTACGCCATTGCTCTTCATTTATCGCTGCTACAATGGCCTGGGTCGGTGCTTGGTGCCTTTGTTGGCTGGACAGTGGGAAACGCTTGGCGAGGAGGTTTGATACCAGCTTCATTGGTGACATGGCGACTGCCAGGTTGGATGGTGGGGCTTCGGTCTCACAGACGCAGTGCCGAATTTGAAGGTTTGCGAAGACGTCTGGAAGGGGAAAACGGCTCGGCTACCGGTGTGTCGTCTGGTGTTCAGGGCTCTGGCGGCCAGCAAGCGGAACGAAGAAGAACAATGGGGCAGCAGATTGTGGACCAGTTCCGGGAGGCATTATAGAATGTATTGATGCGTAGAGATTTGTAGAGGGTCTTGCATGTTTTCCGGCCGCGTCATAATCAACTTCTGTTGGCACAGGCTACGTGTCTCGCCCAATTGGCCATGCCTCGCATCAGCCTGCGGTCGGTATTCGCCCCGTGGCCAGTACTCGTACCTTGACTTGACGAGTCAGTGACTGGCCTCAAGGTGCAATCTAGGGAGTACATGTGTACATACAATACAGGGCACACGGGATTTGGTTCACGCCCCCCGATGGAACATGCCGTGCATAACCAGGCACAGGCACGTGTCCGAAGGGATCGCGGGTCGCTAGGATACAGGGATCATGCCAGCCCAATTGGAGTGTTGGGTCTACCTTGGCTCGTAGCTGAGCCCAGCTCGGACCCCCGCCATTGTGGCTGCTCCATCAGCTTTAATTAATTAAAATGCTAGGAAATTAGGACGAAAAATTTCGGGCTTCATTAGGCAGATTAGAGGGCGGGTCGAGCATCGATTTCGAGATTAATCGGGGCCTTGTTGCTGATACATTACTCCGTAGAGGAAGAGAGACTACGTACTCGCTGCTGGCTGGCTGGGTTGGGGGATGTTTCCGAATATCACATCATTCTGCTGGGAAGGGCGGGCATGTCGGCTTTTTGGAACAGCCGAGAGCTGCTAGCCACGGATGAGGGTCAAAGAGGACTGCGTGATCCGAGTGTTACGCATCAATGGCTTTAAGCCGCGCGGAGCGTGAGTTTCTTGACGAGACGATAAAAATTTACCCGGCTGTGTCGACGGCCAGAGATGGGGAACGTGCAAGGCCCTTGGGAGGGCAAAATGGCAGAGTCTCGGGCTGAGACGCAGAATTCCTTTGTGTGTGTCTGTTCATTATGAGAAAAGGCCATGATTGTCTCATACTGTCTGACAGCGTCGCAGATGCACGCATGTGCTCCGGGCTCGATACGAAGTGCAAGTACAGAAAAAGAAAGCAACTTGACCAGAGAATGCGGATGGTTCCATGTTGTGTGCTGAGCAGTTACGTCAACCACCCATCAGCCTGTGCCGCACTGAACGGCCCACATGTCCAGCGACCACACGCCGCGCTCAGCCAGCGCTGTGGCTGCATCAATGGGTCCAGCCGTCAACATTGAAGTCTGGCAGCCTTCCCCTGGAGGTCCCTGGCCCCCGCTCCCAGCCGCCCTCCCGCCTATCGTGTGGCTTTGCATTCCCCCGAATCTGGCCCAATCTGGACACCAGCTTTCACACTAGCTTTGACACAAGCAACAGCGACATGGGCAAGGCCTCCTTTTCCAGTCTCCCAAACCCCGAGTCCGAGTCCAACCTCCCAACCCCAAATCATCGTGCCACAGTCCTTTCCTGCCATCCTGCGCTTCTCCTCGCTTGCCTGTACCATCACCACCTTGCTCAACTTTTTTTTTTTTTTTGGATTACAATACGCCTGTGCTTAGACCTACGACCCTACCGACACGCGACCACCCGGCCTCCTATCTCTGCGCTTGGGCCTCTCTGCTTCTTGGATCAACAAAGCTATCGCGACTTGCTGCCAACACAACTCAAAAAGACAAACTTTTACTCCTCAAAAGCTCGCATCGCACCGGGACCAGCGGACTCTATGGCGATTTAAAGCGACTTGTTCCTTTTCCTGCAACCAGACTCCCTCTATTTTCTTTGTTCTTCTCTCTTAATGTGCTCATGAATATCCACGGACTGGAGGATTAAAACAATACGATTAATACTATGAACGGCTACCCGACCGCTAGAGCCCCATATGACTACGGGGCCCCCAACCTGCCGTCTCAGAATGCAAATACTATCGACAAACCGGAAGGCTATGCACAGGATGGAAATGCGAATGGATTCGCGCAGGATGCGCCACGATACCAAGTAAGACGTCGAGATAGGATTTGACCGTTGTCCCTACACAATAACTTGGCTGGGGAAACACTCGTGAGAGCAACATGGTGCTAACACATGATAGACTTCGGGCCCGGATTCGACACCACGGTCAGCGCGCGTCGACTTGAAAGACCCGATTCAGGTACATCTGCTCACCGAGACGGCTCTCTCCGACAGCAAGGGATACGAGATTTTGTCACAAGAGGAAGTGGACGAACTGAAAAAGCAAGCTGCGCTCCTCACCCAGCGTGTAGAGTCCACAAGATCCAATCTCGCCATCCAATCCAAATATCGAGATGCCACGGCGTCCATGGCCCGGCTCAATGCTCCTGGCTTAAATGACGAGCAGCGCAACCGAGAAGCTGAGCGGGAGAGACTCGAGAACGAGCGGAAGTGCGATGAATTGGCTGCAGAACTGCTGAACTTGGAAAAGCGACTGTTAATCCCTCATCGGAAAATCGTCGAGCATACCGCAGCCATCCTCCAACTAACCCACAAGGCTAGCAGGAAAAAGACTGCACCGCAGAATGGACAGCTTGTAAACGGTATACCTGGAAGTCCTGAAAGCCTATATACCTACTCGCACAGCAGAAATAGTCTCGATCAGGTCGGCGATGAGACATACTTCGACGATCCGAGCGCCTACCAGCTCGATGGAATAGATCGACCAAGGAAGAATGCTATTGAAATTCCTCTCAAGTCGCCAGTTCGTGAACAGAACCAGCTTCGAGTTGAGTTGGACCGTATGCGTGAGGAGAATGCCCATTTACGGTCTCAAACTGATGGCCTGTTGAAAAGGCTTCAAACCCTCAATGTGTCGCTGCGTGACACCATTGTTCGATTTAATCCAGAGATCAACCAGACGTATGATGCACCGCCTCAAGTCTCTGCAGCCCCAGACATCAAACTCGCAGACTTGCTCAAATCTCAGTTCGAGTATCTAGAGAGCGGCCTGGTTGCCGTCCAGGCCGAACAAGACTCGTTCGCCGGCGGAATTCAGATGGGGGAGCGTCTTGAGGCCATGAACCTCCAGTTACGAGACCTCCTCATGACGTCTGATCCCCACTACACGCCAACACCACTGCCATCAGACTCTGATGTCAACGGGCAAATGGCATACCTAGAAGACTCAATTCGAGCTGTCGACTCCCACGTGGCGCGCGCCAACTCCTCACCCAAGTCAAATGATGAAACCGGTCCAGTGCTAACTAGTCTTTGGGACTCGATGCAAAGGGGCATCGTAGAAGCCAAACAGCGTCAGGATGAACGCAAGAAAAGCCAGATTGAAAGGGGCATTACTGAGGACGACATGGACATGTCTGACGATGAAGACTTCGATACAACCAAGCCGTATTCTCTAGAAACATTCGCCGACAGGGTGCAGCGCATACATGCGCGGACCATTACTCTACGAGACCAAAAGTACGTGCTCAAGCGGCAGATCAAGCAGCAGCGGGAGCTCAACAAGTCGGACGGCGAAAAGGACAAGGAGCTGGAACGCAAACAAAGGGAACTCGAAGAAAGCCGACAGCAGTTCAACCGCTCTGAAAGGGACCGCAAGGACGCTCAAGAGCAGCTCTCTAGCATGATGGCAGACTTTGAGAAGGCCAGGGAGGCGGCAGACCGTGCCGGAACTGTCACCCTTGAGCTTGAAGAGCGCAAGGCCAGAATCACCGAGCTCGAGAAGAGCCTCAAGGCCACTCAGGCCAGCTTAGCAGCCGCAGAATCCGGAACAAAGGGGTCCGAAAGCAAACTCGCCGCAATCAATGCTCAGATTGAGGAGCTCACTCAAGAAAAGAACGTAGCAGAGACGACTGTCCAAAGCCTACGGGATGAGCTGTCGGCCAAGAAACAGGAGATTGAGGACACAAAGAAAAAGGTGGATGACCTGGAATCGGAAATGGTTGATCTTAAACTCGATCTGACGGTTGCCAAAGCCGAACTAGACGGCGCTTATGGGTCCCGTGCGGAACGTGCGGAGCGTGCAGCAGATATCGCAGCCCTGAGGGAGGACGACAAGATCAAAAAGCTCAAGGAGGAGATCAAGAGGCTTCAAGGGGAGATCAATGAACTTGGAGGAAAGGACAAGGAACTAAGGAAAGAGCTTCAAGGCATGACGGACGAATGCCAAAGAATCACCAGCGAATCTGTCGGATTAACAGGCGAGCTGGACGATGCTCTGAGGGCTAAAGACAAGCTCAAAGAGGAGCTCCACAATACCCAGGAGAAGATGGCCAAACTACAAGAAGACTTGGACAACGAGCGACTCAAGATTCCCAACGACGGGTCCAGGCCAGGAGCTGGTGCATCGGTTCTGAGTGAGCGATTTAGAGCGACAATGCGAGAAGAGCGCAAGAGATTCCAGGATGACCTAAAGGTGCGTACAACACCACACTTGTCGAAGGGAATACTAACAGTTGTACAGGAGGAACGCCTCAGGTACCGCAAGTTGGAAGAAGAGCTCAGCAAACTAAAGCGCAGCTTAGGGCCTGGAAAAAGTCCTCTGAGTCCACGGTAAAAAATTAACAAGTCGCACTACATATCCTTCACGGCCTGTTTTGTATATTTGCTTTTTCCGTCGCTCCAACAATTTTGACACTCAATATGGCCTTGTGGGTTTCTTGCATACTGCGCCATCGACATTCTCGACAATGTCGCTCTTGGATATGTAAATTCAGAAAAAAAAAACGTACATTCACACACAAAAACCAGGACACGAAGCAGTATTTGGGTATTCGCAGAGTGCGTATACAAACTCATGTCTGGATTCATACACTTCACTTTGTACATAGCATGGCATTGGAGCCTACTTCTACCACCCTTTTTTTTCCGTCTCGGAAGCATGGAGAAGGGATTGTGGGTCAGTATATTATTTTCACGCCCTGCTCTGGGTTACGTATAAAAGTCATGACGGGGGCGAAACATTAAAGAGAAGGGCGATTGGGGAAAAGGAGGAGTTTTGTTGGACCTTTTTTGTTTTTTTATTTAGGCTCATCCCTCTTTTCTTCTTCTTTACATATATACATGTCTATATTCTGGTGGCAGGGAGGTTGGAAAAGGGTATTTATTCTTAGCGATAGGCATATATGTGTCTGACAGTTCTGGACGGTCCATCTCATGTGGCTGGCTGTGCTTGGTCCTTTGTTGGCCGGCTGAACTGTATATTCTTCCACCCGGCATAGCCCCGATTGTCCCATCTGTCTTGACCTGTCGCTGCGGCGATGCTATCTTCCATGTACCTGCTACTCTACTACAAGAGAGCAGAGTCTTGACATTGTCTGCCGTACACAACTTGCTCACTGGGACTTCAGCTGGGGCTGGTTACGGCGTCTGCCTCTAGTGAAGTTGGTATTGCTCGCTTACATAGCCTAGAGAATATAATACATACAAGCATGGCGCATACAGGGCAAAGTGTCGCATGCGGCCGCAACGATACATGTACAGAACAGAACGCATAAATCTCCAGTTCATCGGGCCTCGGAGGCTCACGGGGTATATATAGGTACAAAAGAGGAGAAAAAAAATTCACAGGATAACCTTGACACTGGTCTTGTAGCTGAATGCCGTTTCGGGCATCTACACAGCAATCCTACTGCTCTGTAGTGCCTCCCATTCCCGAGACCCCACAACCTGAACGTCACAGCCAAGTGCTGATCCGGTCTTTATCTTGCCATCGGGCCCAGGCAGTCGTATTTGCAGCTGCGCAGCTGGGTTCCGAAGAAGGCCCTTGCCGACATCGGGCGTGCGTAGCATGGATGACTTTCGAAGAACGGAGCGTTGCCAGGCATTCCAGGCGGCAAAGTCTTCCATCTGCTTAGCGGCGAGATATTGAGGGGTAGACTTGGCAGGCTTCCACGCGAGCTTGTCCTTGGGCAGTGTGCCAAAGTCAAATATCTTGGACGTTGTGGCCATCTTGACGAGCTCGCCCAGGACATCCTTGGCTTCTGCGACGACGAGTGCTTTGCGCTGTTCTCTTGTGCTTGTAGGTTTCTTGAGCGGCTCTGCCAGCCAGTCGTAATTCTGCTGTTCAGTCATTCGTGCCCGACGGTTGTCTTCTCGCAAGTATCGCACAGCTGACTGTAGGCCTTCAATGTCCTTCTTCAGGGCATCCATCTCGTGAGCAGTTGCCACTGCCCGCTCTTGGCCGGCCTTCATACCAGCCGCATCCGCACCATCTGCATAGGCTCGGCTGTCGCTTGCAATCTTCTTCCATTTGTCACGCTCAGACTCAAGGCCCTTGAGTTCTCGATCTTGTTTCTCAATGTCCTCTTTGAGGATGGTGACTTGTTCACCAGATGCCTCGAGTTGCTTCTGGAGACTGCTAATGCGTTCAATATTAGCCTGAGCATCGCGCATGCGTGACTCGAGTGTGTCAATCTTGAGAACAGCGGTGCTGAGGTGCTCATCCCGCTGGGCAATTGTTCTCCGAGCTTCGTTGTGTTCCTCCCTAAGGCGCCGGAGCTCTTCTTCGGCGTCGGCGGGTACTGTCTTGAGCACCTTGAGCTCTTGAGACCGCAGTTTCCATGGCGCAGGATGAACGTCAAACTCTTCGGTCTGGTCGAGGTCCGTTGCTAGAGCAGCCACGTCGTTGATCTGACCAGTCACTATGCGCAACTTGGCAAAGTACGCAGAGAACGTTTCGGATTCGGAGGCAGAGGTAGCATCCAACACAGCTTGGTGAATGGCGCTCTGAATCTCGCCGTACGTGAACGGCTCCGCCCGTCCTTCATCTTGGGTAAGCAGCAAGTGAATGTGGTTGCCAATAGCTCGGGCTATGTTTGCCAGCTCTCGGCTGTTATGCTCGCATTGCTCAAAAACCGGTTTCGTATCCGGGAGTAGTGAGAGCGAGCGGGTCTTCAAATCCTCCAAGGCACGAACCGCTTTACCAGCAATGACCTTGGTGCTTCTTGTTTGTGTTATGGCCATGTCAAACTTTTTCGCAAAGAGCTGGTTCATCTCATTGCCTTCAGCTTCAGAAGGAATTGCGCGCTGAACCATGGCTCTTATTGTATTGAAGGCTATTGCAGCCGAGTCGAGGTGGCTTTGCACAACTAAAGACGACATGTATACATAGTCGGCAAAACTAGGAAGGCCGTTGGAGATATGCACCTCTGCCAAATGTGACATGAGGGCAATTGTTCGTTGCAGCTCTTCAGCGCACTTCTTTTCCTTGAGATCGTCACGACGAAGACCATCAATCCAGCTGTTCAACGCGCGCTCAACGGGCTCGAGCTCGAGCAAGGAGTTCTGATATGCCGAGAATTGCTCAGTGGTGCAGTGACTAATGTCGTTGATGAAGCGATCACACACTGCCGCCACCCACACCAGCTTGTCAACTGCATCACATCCAGCAAGTAAGTCATCTTCATGGCCGGGTCGGGGCTGCCCATTGATACGCTCTTTGATAAGTCCATTGACGAGATTTGCCTTGAATGCCAATCTTCGGAACCGAAGCAATGCAAGAACCGAGTCCTGGTCTTCCCGATACGTGTCGGGGAGGAATAGCTTGACAATCTCGAGATGTTGCTCTGCTTCCTGGGCATCGAGGTGGCGAAGCTCCAAATCGATGGTCTTGACTTGTGCCTTTGCGACGGAGATTTGAAGCTTCATGTTCAAATCCATCATGGCTCTTGAGCGGTCATTCAGTTTCTCCGATTCGCCTTCGGTTACCGCCTGCGAGGCTCTCATGTCATCCAAATCAGCCTGCAAGCTTTCCACAAGTTCTCGGAATCGTAATATCGTGTGCGCCCTATCGTCAAGCTCCGCTTGTTGTCTTCCAGCCCTTTGTACTTGTTCCGAGATAATAGTGTCTCTAATGTCCAACTCTTCCTGCATCTGCTTCTCCAGCTGCACATGATTAGCTTCCAATTCATCGTCGATCTCTTTTAGAGTCTCAAGCTCTGTAATCTCGAGTTTGAGTTTTTCTATCATTGAAGACATATCCATGTTTTGTTCAGACAATTCTTCAATCATACTCTGGGCCCCAAGAGCGTCGTTAAGTTGTTCCTTAAGCTGTTCAACGACCTGTTCAGATCGGGCCAGTTTCTCTTTTGTCAAATCGTGCTGTTCCTTGACTGGCCCGAGCTCCTTGATATCTTCCTCGAGTCCAGCGATCTGGTCCCGCAGTTCTTTCTCTTGATCTTGTGTTATGTCGCGCAACCTTATCAAGGCCTCACGCAGCCGCTCATTTGCGCTCTCCATCTGCATCCAGCCAGCACTGGCGCGTTCTTCCGGTGACATTCCTTTGCAATAATCAGAGTTCTCGGCTTCAAGAAGTTCAACCTTGAGCTCCAACTCTTCTGTTTTCAGTTTCAGCGCCTCTACCTGCGACTGCGAGTCTTCAAGATCCAACTCAGCAATCTGCCTGTTGACTACAGACAGTTCAAGCTCAGCCTCGAGATCTGCCTGCTCCTTTTCGATGGATATAAATCTGGCTTCCGCCTCCTTCATTTGTTTTCGCAGCTCCGCATTCTCTTGTTGCTGGGGTTGGTATTTTTGTTGGAGTTTCTGGATAATGCCCTCAAACTTGTCTCGTTCACTTTGGACCCTATCCAGTTGGTTTAGTTTGTCCCTGTCCTCGAGGCGCTTACGTTCAAGCACTTTGAGCTTCGCTTTCAAATCCTCATTTTCGCGATTCAAGGCGGAGTTCGGAGCAGATCTTTGGGTCGTAACAGCAGCAGTTGTCCGTTTTGACAGTGGGGGAGTAGATGACGTTCCAGGAGACGTAGCAGCGGCAATTTTTTTGAGAGCTTTTGCCCTTCCTGCCACTGGACTCGTAGGCTGCGGTGACAGAATCTCCCCATCACTCTTAATGGGAGAACCTGGACCAGTATCATCGGCTGAACCACTGTCACGCCCCGCTTGTGAATCGGCCGACGGCCGACGTCCAGAGTCTGGTCGTGAAACAGTACGCATAGATTGGGGGGGACGAGCTCCGCTGGCGCGGGCTGTTGTAGAGGATATTGACGATACTCGTGCTGTTCGCGAAGCAGGGACGGCCGGCGGTCCCATCGAAGTTCGCTGTCCACTGACGGATGTTCTAGCTCGGGCGGCTCCAACCGCAGATGCTGATGAAACTCGTGCATTTGAAGGCGTGCCGGTTCGAGAAGCAGAAGCACTGGATGCGGCGCTGAGCTGCTTTGTTGGAGACTTTGCGGGAGACTACATCATGGCTGTTAGCGAGCTCGAACGTAGGAATTGCGGCTCCTGTCCGTACCCTCACAAGACTGGTAGGACGAGACTTGGGAACTGGACTGGGACTGGGAGCGTTCAAACTCCTCCGCTTGGCTAGCGCAACATCCCCGCTGGGAGCAGCCTTGACCGATGCCGGATGAAAGCTGCTTGGGCGCGCTGGTTTGCGGCCAACCGGCTTGGTACTTGGAGCCTGTGCAATGATTGTCGCCATCATGGGCTTGACAAACATGCCGTAGCCCGCGGGGCAATCAAAGTACCTGACTCCCTGAACGCTGCCATCATTCTTTCCAGTCTTGTCCTCAAGTTCAACGCCAATCCACTCGCCAACCTGGAAGTTGGTCTGGCCGGCAAATCGAACCGTTGCCTTGCGGCCGTCGCTCAGCTGGACTATCTGGCCAGGCTTAAAGTCCGGCATTATTAATGAGAAGATAGGCGTAGGAGCATTGTGGTGCCGAAGACCGTGGAGTCGGATCGCTGGTGGTAGTGGCGATGCTGCTGGTGGTGGTGGTGATGACTATCAATATGTCGCCAGGGGTTGATGATGGCCACATGCAGTGTGCAGAAGTGGCACCGAGTATGGTGAAACAAAACAGGTGCACATGTCAACTGTGGGGGACGCGTCTGTAAGAGTAGACGCGCCACACCGGGCGTTGTTTAGTGGCTGCAAGCCCCCAGAGTCGCTGTTGCTGTGTTAGTGGGCCCGCCAGCCTTTCCTCTGCCATGGTGCCTCAAATTTGAGGCTTCCATTACCGTATTGTTCCTGGCTTGGCCCGCCATCTGAAACCACGCGCACTCAACTTCCATTCTGGGCCAACACAATCATTCGTTGATGATATCCGGCACAGTGGTGTTCAAGCGCATCGAGCGACCAGCAAGTTTACCAAGTCAACACGCAGCCTAGGCCAGGTCACTGTGTATTTACACGCATATACGTTCGCAATTCGACAGATGGCACAATGACCGGTTGGACGACACCCCAAAATGAGTCCTCAATTACTCAACTGTCTGCTGCAAGACAACCATGTGCCCGCAAGGTGCTCGCACAATCAATCTTCCTTCTCCTCATGTACACATGCTCATGGACGTCATTCAACCCTCAGCACCCGTGGCTTTTCGTCGCCATCATATAACCGCCATGGAGCCTCGTTTCTCTTCATAATATGATGACGCTCCGTCCGACGACAACACCGACGGATCAAACTGAATCATGTCTCCAGCTCTCACAGACTTAGTCTCGGGAGAACGCCTCCCTCATCCATTCCATCACCTCAAAGGCCATCCTGCGCTCTGTTGCTTCATCCAAGCCTTGCCCGGCCGATACTCTTACAGAGATCAGTCCCATATTTCTCGAGATGTCCACCACGCCTGGCTTACTAGCATCGTCATTGCTTTCTTGTATATGCACAACCAGATCAGGACTGGCAGTTCCCCGCCAAAGACTAGCCGTCCATTGCCAATGATCCACAGGACTGTATCTGTCCGACATGGTCATGGCAGAAGCATACTGGTCTGAAATGGTCAGACTGAAACCACCCTTCACCAAAGCAACTGGCATTTTTGGCACAGCCGTTGGACGTCTCCCATCATCTGGTGGAGTGCATACCTCAGTCGAGGGAGCTTGCACCACCTTTAAATCCTTGTCCTGGTCCTGGCCCTGAATATTCGCTCCAGCACGTCCGCCTGTGACGTGATAGGCAATCTGCCTTGACCTTTGCCGCCAAGATAAAATGGTAGCAAAGTATTCTGAGAGCAGACTGTCCAGGCAAGCACTATCATTTCCTCTATCAGTTTCAGCAGAGGTCTTACTCGATCCCCCTTCAACCAGATCAGCTTCATTTGACCATACTTTAAGAGCCACATCTCCGCCTGCCGCCAAGGCTTTCTCTACAGACACGCCAACCTCATCAATAAGTCCTTTGCTGGCGTTGCCTTCAACAGCGATGAATACCCCTCGCTTGTCACGATGTGGCCCATGCTGACCTTCTGGAGGCAACACCCGTGTAATGGTGGACAAAAGGCCTAGCTTCTGACTCAAGTTTGGTTTATTCATCGCTATTGCCTCTTGGCTGATCGAGTGTGGCTTCCTCGTCGGTGAGACATTTAATCTCGCTGACGGTATGTCTGCGTGCCTACCTTCCACCCCTGGCGACCTCGAAGGTGAGGGAGGAATTGACGTTTGAAGGGGCGGCAACCGAAGAGATTCGTCAAAGCCACTGTGTCGACGACTCAGAGGCTCCTTGTCCAGTGACCACGGCGAGGACCCTGGAGGCCGCAGAGGCGGTGGCATAGGACCGCTCTGTGACCTCGGAAGGCCGGCCAAGTCTGGCAATGTCGTCCCGGCGTAATGCCTCACCAGGCCAGCAGTGCCCTCCGGCAGTGTGCGACTCAAATCCGGGGGTGGAGGTGGTCTGGTAGTGTATGCCCCGGTTGTTCCAGCGATGACGTGGTAACCGCCTGCACCATTCGCACGTCGCCGTTTGATCTCAGGAGAGCTCGGCTCACTTTTTTCAACGTCCCGAACAGGCGGCAGCTGGTGAGTGAACGGCAGTCCACTGGTCGGGGATTGCTCAAAGCTCGATCGACGAGACAAGGCAGCCGTGTCTAGCCGCCTTAACCCCGGCTGAGGCTGAGACGCCAGTGTGAAGTTTCCAGCTGGTGAGGTTGAATACGGCGTCGACGGGGTCCTTGGAGTTGAAATGGAACGGCCATGGCATTTCGGGCATCGACCATGCTCATCCATTGGTGATGTACTCGTCCAGGTGCTTTGGTTCTTGGCACTCCTCCGAGGCTGGTATCGGTAATTTGGATACTGATGCTGGTGGCGCTGCTTCTCCTCTTCAGCCAGCTTCTTCCAGTTGTCCTTGACATCTTCACTTTCGTGTTTCCACTTGTCTCCAATAATTTTGGATATTTCTGGATTCGAAAGCTTGGGGTTTTCGGCGGTAACTTGTGACTGATGGTGTTGGCGATACAAAATGAATGCTGAGACGGAACAAGTTAGTTAGCCATCACACAGCTTTTCATTGCGGGGGCAGAAGTCGTCAAACACAATTGTCTATGTGACTTATCCTGTGATAACGTTGCTTCCCAGGAAACTCCCTAGCAAACCTCCCGAAGCGCTAGGGACGACCTAAGAAATCTGTGGCAAAATGTGGCGGCTTGCATGATTCACTCACCATTTCTTGGTCTGGGTATCTTGGGTGCCGGGGTACACAGACATATTATATCGCGGGGGCCATCTTGACTAGAAGCACCAACATTGAGTGGCTCAAACATGCCGTGGTTGGCATCCGCAGTGTTGATAGTCGACGCCCTTTTTCTCCCCGAGCCAGACCTAAAGGGGCTGGGAGATTGTCTCCCGTCTGATGACAAAGTAAAGCCTCTGCTATTCCTGAAGGGCTTCTGGAGATTTATGTGAGGATGAAGAGAAGCACGCACGGTTTCCATATCTCGAGTAGCGAAGGACAGTACGTCGGTCATGATGCGGCAAATGGGGGCAAACGACGGTGAGAGAACGGGGGGTTGCAAGGATGCTCACCCAGTTGCGTCCCAGCCTACACCATACTCCGACCTGTGAGGTTTCTCGGGGTCGTGATGTAATTCACGGAGATGAGAGATGAGAATATGAGCAAACGGCCAAGACGCAGAACCAGGACGTCCAGGGATAATAAAGAATGGGGAGGGAGCATACTCGAAATTCGGAGTGGTGGGAAAGGCTGTTGCCAGAGAGAATATTCGCTGGTATTCTGTGCACTCTGGGCGAGCGTCAGGCCTACCACCGTTGACAATGAGCACTGGCTCGCTGACAACCCGCCTTTGGATAAGCTCAAGGCTGGCTGGCTTTGGCCGCCATTATCTGGCTCGACTGCTTCGCAGTCTGAGCCAGTGGGAACTCGTGCATGTCTCGGGAGACCGCCAAGTGGATTTGGCAGCCAGCCCCAGTTGTGACAGAAGGTTTTTCGATCGTCTGTAGATCGGATCCAGGCAGAGCTTATTCCTTTGTCCGGCCAGCAGAACCCCTACAAACAATTACGGATCCCCGCGTCCTAGACTGCCGGCACTTCATCGTTCTTATTCTTCGTTCTAAGATTCTACCAAGAACCCGGTAACGGAAAGGTGTGAGGGACTATCAACGGTTATGACAAGTACCCAGCACCGAGGACAATCAGCAACAAACACACCTACATGCTTTCGTCTTGTCACATCGGCTGTAATGGCGAAGGACTAGCATCCGTGACATCCTAGCACGCCTGCCTGCCTATGAGATCACTCTCACGCCTCTCTCTCTCGGTCTTTTTCTCTCTCTCGGCTCTATGTGTGTGCTGAATCAGAGGCTTTCACTACGCCATCCACAGTTGCCGCCGTGTGGCTTTCTGTACATGAAGACCTCCTCCACCCCGTCGTACCCGCCCCAACCTCACCCACGGGCGACAATGACCAAGTCCAGTACCCCCCACAGGAATGTAAGTTAGATGGCGTCTGGAATGCCCAATGCCTGAGACAAAGACGACGGAGCATCCGAACTCGGCTCAACATATTCCTGCACGTGATACTGAATCTGCGCCTACTCTCGACGATCCAACTCTGCAAGTGTGGCCCCCGGTGACTCGTGGAAGGTTGGAAGGTTGGGGTTGCGTGGAGATGGTGTGATGATGATGCGGATGTGTGTATGAGGTGTGTCTGGTCCTTTGGGGGACCGCCAAGCAGGCACCCAAGATGGTGGTCGTCCATCTTACACAGTCCCCTGGATGTCTCGGCCTCGCAGGCAACGTCGTAGACGATGCCTTGCAGAAGAATGGTCCTGCAATGGCGTTACTCAGGGAAGGAAGCTGGGAGCCAATGAATCCATATTCAACAAGATGGGGGCCAGTCTCGTAGCATTTTGACCCTGTCTCGCATGGCTCGTGCCTGGGTCACCTGTCGCCTGCATAACTGTATCGAGGCGTTTATTCCTTGACTTCTTTTCACAATCCCCTCCGCCCTTCTCCTGTTCTCCAATACGTACACTTCTTTTTAGTAGTCATTCCTTGCTACCTATAAAAACCAGCAGTAACAATGGGGCAAAGATAACAAGCGTGTTGTGAAAGGTGATGGAATAAAAAAAGCCAAAATCAAGCCCTATCCCGGCGCCATCTCTCCATCTCCAGCAATAAACACAAAAAGTAAAATCCGGTTCGTTTTGACTTTCCCCTCTAGAATCTAGGCAACACGGCAATGAGCATCGACCATTGGATGCAACTCAAACTGAAGGAGAAAAAAAGAGCCTCAACAAAAAAATTTACACTACGAGATGTAGCCACGTCCAGCTTCGCTGCTCAATAGCGAAGCGCTACGGCGAGCGTCGAGAAACAGGTCTTCGCACTCGGCAACGTCTTGGACGTCAATCTGGGAGCGGCCGTTGGCTTTTGCAAGAAT